GTGAAGGGAGGGCTAGGAATGGGGAAAAAATAAGAACCAAGATGCATTATGTAAAGGTACAATTCCCAATGAGAAATGTAATTGTTTCGTATACCTAAAATGTACCAATAAAAGAATTTAACAACAACAACAAAAAGAAAACTACATAGAGGCCTACAGAAAGGACTGGTGGAGTGAAATGCAGGAGCAAAATGTACTACCAAAAGACAACGGTTTTAGACATGGGTTCAAGTTCCAGCTATAGCTATTTACAAGGTATGTGATTATGAGCAAATTATAACCTATCTATACTTGAATTTATTCCCAAGAAATATGATAACATTAACACCCATTTCAAAGGGCTGTGATGATGAGAATTAAGCAAAAATACTACACATAAATAACAATAAGATGAATATAAGAGCTTTGGTCTGTGATTGCTTATAATAATGGAAATAATAATCATCATCTAGCAAACCAAATAAACAAATATCAATTAAAATGTGAATCATAAAGTTGAACCATTCAGAAAGACTTTTAAGTCTAGTTTTTCTGACAGAAAAAAATGCAAAGATTTGTCAGATATGGTGCCACAGTGGCACATGCCTATAAATCCCAACACTCAAGAGGCTGAAGCAGGATGATTACTGCAAGTTCAAGGCCAGCCTGGGCTACACAGTGAGTTCAAGGCCAGCCTGAACTACATAGCAAGACCCTGTCTCAATAAACCAAACAATATACAACAAAACACCAATATTAAACAATAAAGAATTCAATAATTTGAAGAGGGCAAATCAACTTAGAAGTTGTAAATATTACTGACCTCAAATCACTTTACAAAGAAATTTAATGCCACTCACTGAGTGTGTACCACACAGAATGTGCTATTCCAGGTATAGCAGGAATAGGAGATATAAAATGAGTAAGAAGTATACCTGAATCTCTTATAATTCAGAAAAGAGGCAAATGAGAGATTACCTGACTAACTCGATTTACTTCTTCTTCTTCCTCCTCAGCTTCTTCTCCAAATGAAAGTAAACTAAAATTTCTAGTCAAAAGAAACAAACAAACAAACAAAGACATGAAGGACAAAAAAGAAAAAGGAAAAAGAATAAAATTTTGAAATTTGGGTTAAGTGAAACTCAAATATATTGTTTTCAAATCATAAAATTTAATTTACAAGAATATATTCTGATTAAAGAAAAAATATTAGTTTCCAGCAGAAGTACAGTAAGATCTATAATTTTTAATAAAGGCTTTAAAGCCTCAGATCACTACTAAAATATGATCAATATCCATCCTGAGCATTACCATTAAATGTACTGAGTCAAGCATGACAAAAATAATTAAGCTTTTGATATTTGTCAATACTAGTAACAAAAGGGAGATTTCTGAAAAACTAATAAATATATAGCCCCAAGAGCACTCCAGATGGGGAATAAATTAATCTAGTGTTTGTCAAAATATATCTTATTATTTTAGAATAAAAAATACAAAGTTGTCAGACCAAAAAATAAAAAAGCCTATGAGGGAAAAAAATAAGTTTGTCTCCTCTAATTTTTCACTACAGTTATGAAATACTGTAAATAGTGACAGTTATCTTTCATCTACAGATAAATGAGTCAAAATAAATGAGTCAAAGAAAAAAAGAAAAATTTAAATATATAGGTATATAAGAAGTTACTGTATTTTGCTACGAACCATCAACCATTTGTTAAGTGTCTGGCTATATTTGATAATATACAAAAACAATTAAATTTACTTATTTTAAAAAATATCAAGGGAAGAAGCTAATATGTGATAAATATCCACATTACAAGGCATCTCATTTAATCTTGATACCAATCAGGTATTGTACTTATTAAAACCTCCATTTTACATAAGGCAACTGAAGCTTGGAAATATTAATAAATTTTGCTTCTTTTTAAGTGGATTTTGCATGATTCCACTTAGAAAAGCCTTACTCTAACATTTATAAGTACAATAAAAATCCCTAAAAAGGATGGTACAATTCAGTACAGGAGTAAGCTGAAATCTAACTTTGAACCATTCACTTTAATAAAACATATTATGTTAATAATGTAAAGAATATTGTCACAAAATGGTGAAATTTATTTTTTTTTTAATTCCCATTTTTTGGAAAACTATGAAGAGATATTCCAGAATATTGAATGAAACAGCTTTATTTTAAAAATATTTATAAGGTTATTTTTCATAGCACCAAAAAATAAGTAAAAAGGCTAAAAAAATTAAGAAATCACACAGTAAGCATGTTAAAATTATTCTTTATACTGTTCTCTACTTTCAAAATTCTTTATACTGAGTAAGCATATATTAATTTAAAAACAAGCAAAAAACAAGTTTCTCAACATTTAAATAGTTGATACAATGAATATAAAATATTAACACATTTCATATGGACATCTGAGGTGACAAATTTTTAGCTAAGGTTATATAATGTACTTAAATATAAATGCTCTTTTTTTTTTTTTTTTTGGTACCGGGGATTGAACTTGGGTCCTTGTGCTTGTGAGGCAAGTGGCAGAATCACTGAGCTAAATCCCTGGCCCATAAATGCTCATTTTAAAAAAAAATCACACATTCAGAATTCCAGTGTCTCCAATATTCCAATTGTTCAACTGGCCTTCCCCTTGCTAGTAAACAATTATTACAAAAGGAAGTAAAATAAACTAAATAAATTATTGTCATTTTTTCAAATTGAAGAAAAATCTTTATACTATGATTACTTTGTGCCTTTGGGTTTCAATTTCTTTACTTCTTCTTCTGGTTTCTCTTTTTTGGGCTTTTTAATTTCCCTTGGAATGATGTCATCGAAAGGGTTAAACAGGACCTACAAAAAAAATAGTTTGAAAATATTTTAAATTTCACATGTTTTAAATTTCACAAAAGTTAAAACTAATATTTAATTGGACTGACAGACGTGCCTATATTTTTCCCCACATAAATACTTAGCATAGTGACACATAATATTGTACAAAGTGCTTTCATTTACTTTGGGGCCTCCTAAGAATCTTACATGCTATTACATAAAGGATACTACACCATCCCAATTTTACAAGAGGGAAAAATATTTAGGAAATTTTAAATGATACAAACTGAGATGTTTTGATTCCAAAATATGTTTTGGTTCTTAAGGACATTCCTTCCTCAATAAAGAATAGCTCTTAAATTACCCATAAGTCACTTCTTTGGGCTAAATAAACCTAATTGCTTTAACTTTTCATCATGAGTTGGGCTTTTCATTTACTGGATTTTCACCTAAAGTAAAAGTTCAAAACTTTTAATTAAAAAAATTCTTCATTACAAGTTGTGTCTGAATACATAAATATGAGTGGTATTATTAATATAGTATAACCTTTAATAGTTTAAATAGATGAATAATCAATTTCTCTTAAATGACAATTTAAACCTTGTATCTCATAATAATCATGTTTCTACCTCACAACTTTTGATTTTGTGTGGATTTCTTGGTCTTTCTTCATCACCAATGTCTACTTCTGTCAGTCGCAGCATGTTATATATTGTATCCCCTGTAACCTATCAATAAAAATATAAAATATAATTGTAAAATCTTATATTCAACCTTCAAATTAGTAAAGGGCTTTCAAAATATTTTTAAAATAATTAATAGGGAATTTTATATTATTGCATAAGAATATACCCATTAGATAATGCAAATAAAGCAACTTTATTTTAAGGGGGAAAAGCACAGATAAGTTCAATCTATCAATAAACTTTTTGGGAAATTTTCAATATATACTTAATAGTAGTTTTTACTAAAAACAAAAATATAATGCCAAATAACCTCCTAACTGACAAATTTTCATTCAAACATCATAAACAAATTTAGACTTAAGAGTAAAATAGGTTAAGCAAATAATAACAATGTGATAAGTGCTTTGCAGATATTATTTTATTTAACCCACACAAATACCCTAAAAGTAAGAACTATCATTATTTTCCTTAGACAGATAAGAAAACAGGCTCAAGGAAGTTCTAGAACTAAGAGTGGTAGCTTTTCTAACTTATGAACTCTCAGTTATGTGTTATGTCTCATGTGCAAGTTATATGAAATCAATTGTAAAAGTGGTGTAGAAAGGAAACTTAAGTATCATTTATTATACACTCTTATTATGCAAAAGTAATAGGAAAAAATCCATGGTCATAAGAAAGCCTGTGTTGGGAGTAGCTTGAAAGAATATGCTAATGCTATTTCCATGTTGTTAAGAATTAAAAAACAACATTATATTTCATGGTTTTACTGTGACTGTTAATTCAGCATTTCTCAAGATTTAAAAACAGTTCATAGTACTATAAATTTTCAATTATACTGTTTGTTTCTCCCCTCTCATCTTCACAAAATCCAATTTTGCCTATGAGAAAACAATTCTTACTGAGCCAGCAGAGGGAACTGATAAGCTCGAGATGTCTATTAGGTTAAAGAATTAAAACTTACAGGAATATATTTAAGAAAAGGGAGAAAAGTGAAAGAAAAACACCTTCAGAATCCCTTTGTAAAAGGATTTGTTGAAGATGCTATAGAAAGAACATTCTTTGTTAGGACATTAAATGTGAAAAGGATTAAATAGATACTATTCAAAGTAACATTTCTAATAGAAATTTTTTGTCAACACAGCTTCTACTTTAAAGTTAAGAGAATTCATCATTACTAAACTTTAAGCTGGTAAACATTACGATCTAAGTATCCTTCTGATAATGTAAAGACAACATTAGCTGAGTGGCATAGTAGCTAATACCACTCCACAGTAGACTTTTAAAGAAGGGAAACATTAAAGTCATAACAAATGACTAATGTGAAACACAATAAAGAATTTAGTTGGTCCTTCATAGTTTATTATAAAAGGAATGCAGTATATTCCATTATTTTTGAAAATAATAAGTAAATATAGGGAGAATTTTTATGAAGACGGGTCTTAACATACTTGCTCACATATATCATACAAGCCTGGGGAATAACATAAAACCAAAAACCAAACCATACATTTAAGAAAAGTGGATACTAACCTTTCCAAAGATGGTATGCTTATTGTTAAGTTCATCTGCTCGACCAAGGGTAAAGAAAAACTGGCTGCCATTATCATGAGGACCAGCATTTGCCATGGCAACCAGTCCTCTCCGATTAAAACGCAACCGCGAGTGAAATTCATCCTGAAGCACAAAAAGTTATTTAGTGATTGTCCTCAGTTGTAAGATCCTTCATGTTCAGTCATTTATGCAGCTGACCAGCGAGTTTCCACTTAATTGCTAATCAAAAATCCTGCAGTTTATTTTAACCGATTTTCAAGTATAAATAAATATAATATTTACTATTTGTTCAATGTTCTTAAACTTCTATTTATGAGCTGAGTATATGAAAAAAATAAACTCAGCAATGAATTCAGGCAGCCTACTTTATGGAAAGCTGCCTACTTACACACAGGAAGAATTCAAAGGGCAATAGATTTCTAAGACTCACCTCCCTATTCTCATCCATTAAAGTCATTTAAACTTTTAAAACTTTTTAGTATTTCTCTAAGAAATTCCATTTTTGATTCAAGTTTTCAACGAATGACCCTTCCTACCTCATTCTAAATGTCATGAAATGAAGTATTTCCTTTTGTTTTTAAATTCAAAGAATCTACTATGATTGTATCCATGTAATTTTACTGTTTTTTAAAGCCCTAAAGTTGAATCTTTTCTAAACTGGCACCTGTCCCATCTGCCAATTTTCAAAAGAGCAGGTGCAAGCCTTTCTAAGATGAGCTTCATGTTTTGATACGGGTGCTTAACCAATTCCTTAGTCTACTAGTTAACAAAACATCCAAACCTGACACTGGAATCCATTTATAATGTTGCCATGTTATATAATTATATATCCTTGGTAAATAATTCTTAAAAGATCTGAACTCAATAGATTATAATTCTGTATTCTGTGTTAAAAATGACCTAACTGAAAAACTTAACAGGATAACTGTATTACCTGAAAATAATAAAGCAAAATCTCAAGTTAGGAGAGAAGTGCCATAAAGAGCTATTCCGTGGCACCAAATAATGGAATAAAGGAATGCCTCCTATGAGCTGGAAGCTCTAAAATGAGACATCTCTCCTTGTTAATATTTAAAATGCTATAACAATGATGTCTACGGTTTTTTTTAAAAAAATTTCACATTTTCTAATGCTATTATCATCTGGAAATTAAAGGAAACACTGACATTCATATATTTTTCTCAAGAATTACACTGTGACCCAGATCTAAGCCATCATAATAAATACAAAGTTTTCCCAAACTCCCCTATTTTAAGAACTACTGATACTCAAAGAACCTAGTATTGGTACAATTGGACTAATAATAAACACAACTTTTAGCTTCTACTTGAAACCACTGTTGTTGCTCTTTTATTTTTTCAGTACCAGAGACTGAATCCAGGGCCTTCACATTGAGCTAGATTCCCAGCACCTCATCCCTCACACATACTTTTTAAAAATAAAAAAAATACATTCTAAATTTAGAGATAAGGCCTCACTAAGTCAGTCATTAATTTGCTGCAGGATGGGTTCAAACTTAAAATCCTCCTGGCTCAGCCTATCATAGTTTTGGGATTACAGGCATGCACCACCTAATTTCTTAACTATGATATTAACTTTTTTCCTAAATCTGTGTTGGCAGGTAAGAAATCACTGACCTATTCTTGACTCTTACACCTTTTCCTCATATTTTTGATATTGCTTCTTTCTTCAATTCCCTTTGTGGTTTCCCACTGTTACATGCATTTTGTACTAAAGAGATCTATTATGTGTAATTTTGAGTAAATTCTGCTATGGGGGATTGAATTGTATTTTCTCAAAATTTTTATGCCCTAACTCACAATATCAATGTATTTGGACTGTGAGGAAGAATAAAGCTGATAAAGGTAAGACAAAGTAATAAAGTAGGGTCTTAATCCAATAGGGCTCATGTTCATTTAAAAGGAAGACAGTCATCTGCAAGCCAGGAAGATAGACCTCATCAGGAATCAAAATAGTAGACATCCTGACCTCAGACTTCCCAGCCTCCAGAACTATCAGAAATAAATTCCTACTTAAACCACGCTGTCTGTGGTTTTACATATTTGGTTATAGCAGACCAAGCAGACTACTATAGATTCCATATGATTTTTAAATTAATTGTTTTAAAATAAAATAACATATATAGTGTTCTAAAAATGTTTTACATTTATAGAGCTGCAAAGTTAGACAGATCAGGTATTGGGAAATTTGCTATGTGGTTTTTTTTTTTTTCTAAATCACATGTTCTTTACTACCACCTTCACCTCCACTTGAATTCAATCTAACATAAAAGCTTAAGATAAGACAACTTAGGGCTTTTTTTTTGGTACCAGGGATTGAACTCAAGACTTTGCACTTGCAAGGCTGGTGTGGCACCACTGAGCTAAATCCCCAGCCTGAGATACGACAACTTAGAAAGAATGCTTGATAGGGTAAGTATTGCTCTTATGTCTGTGTAATCCTAAATATGTGACAGATAACTGGTTTTGAATACTAATACGAATTTTTTTCATCTTGTGGGGCACAATCATTTTCTATTAAGGAGTCTATGTTGATTTATAATATAACTGTCATTATTTAGTCTTACCTTAAATGGGGCTCCATATATTGATTCCCCACCAGTCCCTGTGCCAGTAGGGTCTCCCCCTTGGACTATAAAACCAGGAACAACTCTGTGAAAAATGGTGTTGTCATAATAAGCTGAAAAGATAAAGAATAATTTATCAATTTATAAAATTAAGTGTATCTATAGTTAACAGAATTAATATAAAATTAGAGTCACAAGATTTATTTTCCAGAATATTAAATAGGCTTCCAAACAAAAACCCTTCCTTCTCTATTTCTTAAAAAATAAATTTACTTTTCAAATGGTACACATTTCTACATAAATGATGATGGCAGCTTTTTTTTAATCTTCAGTATTCTCCCAAATATTTTTGTTTATCACAACTGGGGCACACTACTAGGATCTAGTGGGTAGAGGCCCAGAATACTACTAAATATTCTATAAAGCACAGGACAGTTTCCACAGAAAAGAATAACCAGTCTAAAAGTCAATAATGCTGAGGCTGAGAAATCCTGGGATAGGATATCTTATTTCCTATTTTTTTCCTTCTCCCCATAGAAAATTAATTTATTAATATGCAAACAACATATGAACCTATATCAAAATTACTTATTATTTATAAGTTTAGCACCACTAATGCAATCTCAAGAAACTTGAGGGATAAATCAAATAATTAATATAATCTATTCAAGCACTTGAGTCAAATTAAAGACTTGTAGTTTGAGATAATAGGGGGTGGGTAAATGGAATGAAATTAATCAAAATATGTTATATGCATGTGCCAATATACCAAAATGAATCTCATTATTCTGTATAACTAATATGTAACAATTAAAAGACTTTCAGTTGGTTTAGTAAAATAAATATATATATATATATAAAAATATAAATTTTAAAGTCACAAACCTACAGGAGAGACCATATGTGACTATAGTGCTTAATGTCTGGAAGCTAGAATCACTAGGGAAATAGAATAAAGGATAAAGAAGTTAATTTCAGTAAGGCAAAGCACAAGTAAAGAATTTGGTAAGGGAGAGTCAATTAGGGTTTGACTGAATGAAAGTGTTTATATTAAGAAGTAACAAATAATGACCAACTTTTATAAGAAAAGATGTTCAACATCATTAGACATTAAGGAAATCCAAATCAAAACCACAGTGAGATACAACTTTACACCCACTAAGATGGTTATTATAAAATAAAAAAACCTTAACAAGTGTTGGTGGGAGGATGAGAAACTGAAACTCTCATATATCATTAATGGGTTTGTAAAATGGTGTACAAAGTCAAACACAGAATTATCAGATGATCCAGCAATTCTATTTCTAGCTGTAGATATCCAAAAGAATTGAAAACTCAAATAAATACTTGTTCATAAATGTTCATTGCAATATAGTGAGTTTACTAAATATGCAGCACTAAACTGAATACTTTAAAATGATAGTTTTATGTTGCATAAAGTTCATCCCAATTTTTTAAAAATTCCTTTAGGTAAAAGGAAAGAAATTATTTTATCTCACTGAAGTTATTTTTGCACTTACATTAGGTAAGTACAAGAGAAAAATATATGTAGAGTATATACTTTGCTTAGAAGCAAGTGCTAAATAAGCAAAAGCTATAATCATCATTGTAAAAACAGACGAAAACAAGCAATTATAGAAGCAATAGAACCAATTAAGTATCAAATATACTCAGGATTCAATCACATGTTGGGAGTTGCAATTTATGGAGAAAGAAGAGTTCTCCAAGACGTCTCCAAACCTCAGAACTATCTAACTCTAGATTCCTTGTCATATAGGATGATAAATGTCTTTACTATTCAAATTTTCTTGAGTTGAGTCTTGTATTACTTGCAATTGAATACAACCTAACTCATTCAATGAAAAATATACATCAGTATCTACTGTGGTACAGGCATTGTACTGACAGAATTACTGACTTAATTCAAAAAGTACCTATTATAATGGCTTGCAGGTACTTCATAACTATACTTTCATGATATAACTAGGTATGAAGTGTGTATTTTTAAAAAATGTAAGCTGTAATCTACAAACTGTATGTAGTACAGAGTACACTGAAAGAAGTAGAAAGGAATATCAGCTGATTCTTAAAAAAAAAAAAAAATCCCTCCTTACAATGAAAAACTATTGGGCCATGTTCAACAGAGCTTCTCAGGTCAAACAAGTTCCCTGTGGTTAAACATAGAAACTGTACACATCAAGAAGTCTAAAAGTATCTCTCCTAAATCCTAAGTAACCACTTCATAGACTAACATAGTATTTAACATCCAGGAGTTGTGGCCTTGCCTTTTGGTAAATGTACAATATTAAACTCAATTTTCTCACTATAAAACTAATAATATAAATCAACTCACAGTATTGTTCTAAAATTAAACAAGATCTAAAATTAAAATTAAGATCTAAAGATTAAATAAGATCATTTAAAAATTTTCACATTGAACACAAATGTAAGATCAAACTTTAAAATTATCACTCAACTTCTATAAGTTCTAAAAGTTATATTCAAATTTGAATATAAAATTCACCTGTATATCATAAGTTAAAATATTCCTGTGGACTCATAATGTGCAATCAACTGACATGATCAGATTAACTTTTTCAAAAGGTTACTCAAACTCCCAGCATAGAGAATGGATTGCAAGGAGACAAATTGGAGAAAGAGAAAAGAGATTATTGTCTCAAGTTAAAGTATTTTGAAAGAAGAATTTAACACACTCAGATATATATTACATGTGAGAGACAGGAGACATGAAAGAGGTCTTTACTACTTTGTTTCTAATTTTTAAAATTATACCATTCTTGGGCCAGGGATTTAGCTCAGTGGTTTCGCCGCCTGCTGCGCAAGCACAAGGACCCGAGTTCGATCTCTGGTACCAAAATAAATAAATAAATAAATAAATAAAATTATACCATTCTATTCTTTTCCCCCCTACTTTCCATTTAGTCTTTTTTGATGTCACCTTTTTTATTTTAAGGTTTTCTTTATAATTTTCTCGATCATAATGCATAGATTAATAGATGCATAAAATAATTGTAACACTGTATACATAAATGAGTATGACATTTCTACAGTCTTCACATCATAATTTTGTGTTTTACTATGGCTAGAATTTCCAATTTCCACAAATTTTCAGTATCTATTATTTCTACTTGTTTGTTCTCTATTAATAATTGCTTTTGAGCAATTTATATTTCTTTATAGCATACTATGTATGTGCCGTATTAGATTTTGCTGTTTGCAATGTTTATTTTCTTCTTAAATCTTTATGCATCATCCTCATATGAGTATTCTGAAGAATCTTTTATTATTTCATTATGCACTTTTACAGTACCCTTCTGAATGTTCTCCACTACTGAAAAAAATTTAAATGTATCTCAGATATGAAAACAAAATTCTATTTGACTGCTGTGATTCTAGTTTCTCATTACATTTTTATTTCTAGCTATACAATGTAAGGATATTGTGATATATTTTGACTAATTACATATTTCTAGCTCAAGTTCATATAGGACTTTATATTTTAAAATCAGCTGTATGTGTTTCTTTTTCTAAGATCTTGTATTTAATTTCATGAATTTCCATTAATAATTTTTATTGAAGCTCACTTTGTGATCAGTTTGCCCTCTTTACTTCAGCCGCTCTGGTGTTTTGTTAAACAAATATTTCAGTCTCGTAAGAATTATTTTAACCCGTGGCATACTCATACGTATGTGTGTGTATCACTTTTTCTACAGAATTAATAAACTGTTGTTAAAGGAGGTAGGAGATAAAAGGTAACTAATGAAGAACCAATCATGAAGAGAAAATGCCAAAATAAAATATGGTAAAGAGGTGAATATTTGCATAAATCAATTTTATTCCTTCCTCACAATTTGGAGAAACTAACGAAATTATCAAAGCTAACAAGCTTTCTTTCTTTCCCTTATAGGATAAATTTTTACCCTACTTTTTAATCTGATCATTTAAAAAAATTTTCCCTTTACTTTAAATGTTCACTTAACTATACTACAAAGACCTAAAATCCAAGATTAAGTCTATATAACTGTAGTTATTTTGGTTTCATAAAGGCTACAAACTTCCCTTTAACTGTGAATACTATTTTAGTTGAGGGCCATATCTGAGGCTGTGTTCCCACTTTGCCGTGAGTTCATTCATTGGTTTTTAAACTGTGGAAACTATGCTTTGTTGCTGTTATATTGACATGAGTGTTATAAGAACTAGTAACATTAGAACTTGTTTAAATCATAAAATCAAAGAATTAAAATGAGATTCTTTGAATTATACTTTTTTTTTCTTTGTAGTGCTAGGGATTGAACCCAGGGCCTGACACATCCTAGGACAATGCTCTACTACTGAGCTATACCCCCAGCCTTTGAATTACATCTTTAAAACTTTCACTTTACTCTTTCAGAACTATCTTCCTTTAAATCAGTCTTCTCAGTCTTTTTGTTAGCCTTTCCAATAATAATTCAATCTCATACTTGTTCAATCTGAGAATTGCTTTGGTTATCATTCTTCTATTCTTTTTTCTTTCTCCTTGTATTCTTATAAACTAAAGAATAATTTTTTGTTGTTGTAATTTTCTTCCTCATCCAACATAAGAACCTCATTTTTTCTTCATTGTTGTATTATACCCAGATCTATCTGTTTTTTCCATTCACCTGGTCATGGATTGCAATTTACTACTCATCCTTTCTAATGTTTTTATAATTTCACTCCCCTGTTATAAAATTTGAGCTTTTGATTCTTTAAAACTTCTTACCAGAAACAAGTCTGATTTTTCTGTGCCTGTGTTTCTTAGCCTTGTTAACAGTTATTTGAGTCCTCCCTAACTAAACCACCTATCTGACTCTATTTCCTTCCTGCCTGCCAGAGCAGTTATTAACAATGTTCTTTGCAGATGTCTTCTTCTCCACCCTCCGAATTTCATCCTTAAATCCTTCCTTGGTAGCTATCTATTTGACTACTTATCTATTTGGAGAGCTCTAGCTATACCATACTACTGGATTTGCTTATGATCCAAAACACTGCTTTTCAATACTTGAATAATGTTGTTTGTCTCTAAAAATAAGGTATAACTTACCAAGACAATGCTATCAATGAGGAGGACAATATTTGCTATTAAAAACCACATGGAATGTATCTGAGAAGCCAACAAAAACTCTAAAAAGGGTTAGAAGGTCTAGTTCCATAAAAGAATTTCAGAAACAAACAAAAACACCAAGTGCATGGAAAATTCTGCCATTTTTAAACAGAAAAATTGTTACTTTGACTCAAATCTAAAAAAATCAACTAGAGATATTGATAATACCATCAGTGAATACTAAATGAAAGGTTCTGTTAAGAAACCAGAATTTTTCTTTTTAAGACAGGATCTTGCTACGTAGTTCAAGCTGGCCTTGAACTCACTATGTAAACAGGCTGGCCTCAAACTCATGGCAATCCTCCTGTCTCAACCTCCAAGTGATGGGACTACAGGTGTGTGCCACCACGCCCAGCTAAGAAACTGGAATTTTAAACAGACATTAAAAATTTGGTGGACTTAAATAAAAAAAAGTAAGAGAAAACATTCCAGTAAAAAAGGAGAACTAGTTTGAGGATATGTGTGGAAGTGGAAGTGCAAAGGAAATGCTCAGAAACTAAAGGTAATAATCAACTGAAACTATATGCTTAGTGAGATGAGAAATAAAGTTGGAGGGCCAGTGATATAGCTCAGCAGCACAGTGCCTGCCTAGCAAGTGCGAGGCCCTGAGTTTGATTCCCAATAACGGGGAGAGGGAGAGAGAGAGAGAGAGAGAGAGAGAGAGAGAGAGAGATAGAAAGAGAAAGTTGGAAAGCTAGGAAGCTAAGCTGCCTGAGGATTCAAATATCAAATGGATAGAGGGAAAAGAAACTAAGATGAAAGAGAGGAAGACCAGATAAGAAGCAATTACAGTCATGTAGGTGAAAATAAAGGCAGTGTAGGGAAAAAAGAAACTGGTAAATTTAGTTTCACACTGGTTTGGTTGCAGCCAACAATAGTAATTTTCAGTAGAAAAGTCCACTAAGCAATAAGATAAATTAGTGCTAAGAAGTGAAGAAGTGAATGGAGTTCCCAATATGACAGTCATTTGGATGGAAGTAACAATAGAAAAGTGAAGATAATGGAGAATAAGAGGTAATCTTAGGGAGTACTTAAATTTTAAAAATGCAAGAAAGAAGTGGAAGTTAACAAAGGAGACCAAAACTGATCAAAGTGTTATTTGTTGAGAAAAATTTCTCTGTTAAAACTATATAGGCTAGATGCTGCAGTGCATACTTGTAATCCCAATTATTCAGGTGGGTGAAGCAGGAGAATCACAAGTTTGGATGCATAGGCAATTTAGTGAGACCATGGCTGAAAACAAAATTTAAGAAGGGATGGTGATGTAGCTTAGTGGCAGAGCACTTCCATATTATGTGTGAGGTCCTAGGTTTAATCCCCAGCACCATAATCAAACAAACAAACAATACCTTCCAAACACAGCTGGATGAAATTTCTGCAAGCTTTAGGAGCTTCTTTTGACCACAACTCTATGTCAATATCTCCAGCAGTAGTTTTCAATAAAACCTGCAAGAAAATAATACATCATTCTATTATAATATCATTTTCCTTGACAATTACCGCAACTTCTGGTCAACTTGTAGCAGTCAGTAATTATTTTTCACTTTTAGAAGAAATAATTTGAAACTTTGGCCTTTGTTGCTATACTCAACAAAATCTCAAATATTTACTATAGCTCACTATACATTTAGATCATTCAATATACCGTTTTCAGAAAAAGCTTAGAATTTAGAAAAAAGTATACCTTTTTAATCACAGCAAAAAAAATCATTCATTTAAAAACCAGTAACAGGTTCCAGCGGGAAAAGGAGGAAGAAAAAAATAGTAAAAATAAAAACCAGCAATACAAACTTGTAATTAAGTTTCTCATGGCAACACTTCCTATAAAATTGGTGTAGCAAATTCAAAAACTAAAAGAGCAATGAACCCATCACATTATGACACCATAAGGCAATTACTCATTTACAATTGCCCTTTTACTCTACCATAATATTTAAAATTATATTATTCCTAATTTACAAATGGGAGAAGTGAAAAATACCTACATTGTGGTAGATTTTTAAATGGTTTCTTTAACTCTTGAGGAACTTAAAAAAATTAGAAACAGAAGGATCCATGATTTTCCCCATCTATTACAATTCCTCTACCAAACAAAAAGGGGGGTGTTGAAGATCACCTGAGTGACAGCTTCTCTGCCAGACACTTCATATATTTTATCCCTTTTAATCCTCACATACAAAGTAGGTATCATTAATCTCATTTTACTTGGAAAAAAACAGAGACTCCCTGATAATGGGTCTATCCAAGGTCTCACAGTGAATGGTTTCAGCTAAAGGTTGTGTGGCTGCAAAGAATATGTTTTTTCTATATCATTATACTGTTGCCATGTTTTCCATACTACAGTGGTAAAATAGTCCTTCAAGCTCTAAGGTCCTGCCATATGTCTCAAAAGAAATCCTCAGGTTGCCTGGATCACAATTGATTTGAATAGTGAACAATAAGTCAAATGCAATCTTGTATTGGCCAAACTGAGCAAGAATAACACTAACCATAACTTGGCTTAGCATGAAACAATATTAAAAAGAAATTTTCCACATTGGATGGTGAAAAACCAAGGCAACTTGATTCACATTCCCCTGGGAAGTAAACATTCTCAATAAAGAGAAGCTGAATAATGCCCTTTATCTCAGAACTTATCTGTAACAACACTATGCAATGTCTTCTGCTCTTCCACTAGGCTTGATGTAGATCCCAATCTCAAAAAAATATATTACAACTTCAATTTCATTGGTTGATATTGGGTTGTTCAGAATTTTTAGGTCTTCTTCGTTCAACTTTGGCAATTCATATGTATCTAGGAATAGTTTCTCTGGTGTGAGAAACTGAAAGTGTAAATAAGGACTAAATGTATAATAGGTAATGTGAAATAGGAAGAAAAGGGGCAAAGGGGAAGCAAGTGGGAGGGCTAGGGGAAAGGATAGAAGGGAATGGGATTAATATGAGAAAATGGAAAAATAGGAACAAAATCTTTGTAAATAGGGAGCACTGGAGGGGTTGAAGGGAGGGCTGGGCAAGGGTGAAAAATAAGAACCAAGAGAGACTATGTAAGGGTGCAAATTTCCAATCATGAATGTCATTATATTGTATTCCTAAAATGTACCAATGATTAGAATGAATAATCGATAATGTAAAATAGGAAGAAAAGGTCCAAAGGGGTAGGGGTAGTGGGAGGGGCAGGGGAAAGGAAAGAAGGGAAAGGAAAAACTGATGAGAAATGGAAAAAATGGAAGTAAAGTCTTTGTAAATAGGGAAGGGTGGAGGGGGCGAAGGGAGGGCTAGGAATGGGGAAAAAACAAGAACCAAGAGGCATTATATAAAGGTACAATTCTCAATGAGAAATGTAATTGTGTTGTATACCTACAATGTACCAATAAAAGAATTTAATACAAAAAAATAAAAAAGAAATTAAAAGATTATAATAAAAAATAAAAAATGATTAAAAAATATATATATTACAACTAAAAAGACAATGTCCTGTCCTTTCATTATTTCCTTGTGTACTTAAAATGAAGCATTGTTTTTAAAGAGAATCTATACATGTCTTCTTTTCTTTGTAACCCTAAAGCAACAATCTCCAAACTTTTTGTAAGTGTGTAAATTTATTAGCAAAAAGAAGGTGAAGGGAAGACAAAGTAAGGGCTTAAAACTCATCTGCCCCAAATATGTAGACTTAAATACATGCAGCACTATATCACTCTAGTAGTATGCATAAGAGTGATAGAAAATAAGAATTTTATAAGATTATATAAACATGGTGTTTTAAAATAATTTTAATTTTATCAAAATATTATAACATTTGAGGTATAATTCACATACCAAAAATTTTACCCTTTTAAAGTGAATAGATCAGTGTTTTTTAGTACTTTCACAGAGTATGCAACTGTTGCCATTTTTTTCTAAAAAGAAACTTTGCATCCATTATCAGTCACTCCTCATTTCCCCTACCCTTAATCCTGGCAACCATTAATCTATGTTCTGTTAGTATGGATTTGTCAACTGGATAGTTCATGTAAATGGAATCATACGGTATGTCCCCTTTTGTTTGACTTCTTTCACTTAATATTAAGTTATAATCTTACTTTCAAATCACAGAGGTCCATCTTCCTGGTCTATACACTTAACATTTAAGTGTCCTGAAAAAACAATCAAGACTATAAACAATGGGGGCCGGGATTTAGCTCAGTGGTTCCACCACCTGCCTCACAAGTGCAAGGTCCGAGTTCAATGCCCAGTACCAAAATTAAAAAAAGAGTAAAAACAATGGGTTTATACTCTTACTGATAAACATTTCAAGGCAGATTACCATTAGCAGTTATAAATAGAAATCTGTACTTTAAACAATCATCATAATAATTTCTAATTTTTTGACAGACTTCCATTGGCTGAAGCATCAGCTCTACCATTTTCTTGTGGTTTGCTTAAAGGTGCATTATTATTACCTTCAGCGTGGAATTTGTGAGATCTGGTTTAGTGAAACTAGGTACCATGGTCTGTAAATTTATCAGCCAGTCATCAAGAAAATTACATCAAGATGCAAAAACTGACCAACCAAGTGACTAAATATTCATGATCTTTTTATATATAAAACATAGCACTTCGACAATGAAGGAGAAAATAAATACAAATATATATGGATTTCCTCTCTCTGACCCACGAATGGCTTAGAACATCTCCTGAGGTACACACTCATTGGTATAAGAGCCACTATTCTAAAGAACAAGCTAATGCCTATCATCCCTCACTCCATAGGCTGTGGGGCCAAGCTTCCCAACTTCAAATACCAACACTTGTACTTACTAGCTCTTTCATATTAAGCATAACCTCTCATAGTGACTCAATTTCCTTATCTAACCACAGGGATATCTGATTATTCTAATTATTGGACTTTTTCTGAGCATTGTAGGTTAACATGTCCATCCTACAATTTTGGTTTCCTTCCTTCCCTCCTCTGTGTGTGTGTGTGTGTGTGTGTGTGTGTATGTGTGTATACATATATACATACATATGTGTGTATATATATATATATATATATATATATATATATATCTTTCTCTCTGTCTTAGCAACAAGCTACTTAGAAAAAAAAGAATGCCTATATGGTTGGGTCACCTTGCACACCAGAGTTTCTCAATCTTTTCACTGATAAACTACTGAATTAATAATTTTAAAAAAAGGCATGGCTCCTTCATCCTTTGGCCATGATTACTTTATCAGGCCTTGGTGGCTCTCTTTTGTAAAGCTTCCACATAGGACAATATATTAACAATTTAAGTTAAGTGATCAGAATGTGTAGAAATTTCATCTTTAATGGATTATCTGCTATGCTTAAGAAAATTTCTATCAAGTGCTACATTTCTGTGCCTCATCCTTAAGTGCAAGGGTTACAACAAAACAACACATATAAGAACAGCATCCAATGTTCAACCACTGGTATATCAATTACTTTCCAAGTTGATACTATTTTGTAGGCAGCTAAGTTAGATAGATATTAATATACAGTCAGAGAGGGACTGGGCTCTTAAGGAAGTAAGCACAAAAATAAAGATATCAGAATTATGGCTAGAGGCACATCTGAAGAAGGCCAGGCCTCAAGGTAAAGATGCAGTAGCCAGGCCTACATGGCTCCCTAAGGGATAAACAATAACTTGAGATTATATTGCAATTAGTACCACCTGGCCCAGTAAGTCCAGATAGGTATCAGTCACCCAGTGGGTGATCAGAGCACGTAGACTCATTCTTTCCCAAAAATGCGTCTATCTTTCCATGGACCCTTGCTATGTAACTCGTTTCCCTATTGGTTCAATATTATCTAAGCAGCTATTCTTTTTTTTGGTTTTGTTTTTTTGAGATGAGCTCTCAATATGCAATTCAGGCTTGCTTTGGAGTCACTATGTAGCCCAGGGTAGCCTCGAACTCACACGATCCTCCTGCTTCAGCCTCCCGAGTGCTGGGATTATAGGCGTGCATCATCATGCCTGGTTTAGCAGCTATGCCTGTAATCCTATATGTTGATGGTAGTTTGACCCATGTTGTACCTGTGTTGTGCCTTTGCTGTATAAATTACCCCCAACAAAGGGCCCCAGTGGCTACCCTATTTGGGAACCCTCCTGGAAATCCAGGTGCTTTTCTTCTCTCCTTATTTATAATAAAACTCTCTTAACTTCTTCCTTTGGTTTGGAACTTCATTCTTCGAAGTTGTGGGACCATGAACTTGGCTCATTTGACATCTAGCAGGTTGGGAGTTAAAGTTCTCCTATATCAATAATAATCTCTTTGAAGGGAGGAATTTGTCCCGTTTATTTCTAATCCATATTATTGTGTACCTACTGTACCTATCAGACAGTGAAAATACTAAACAAACATTTGTTGAGCCAACTTGTTACTGTATCTGCTTTAAATTCCTTCCAAGCCAAAATCTTTGCCATGTCATGCTCTATAGTGCAGAATTTTAAACTTTAGTGTCTTCAATCACCCTTATGTTAAAAAAAGTCCCAAACTGTTTTTTGAAGAAAATTTAGATAAGCCATGCCTTATGTTCTCCTTCAGGCCATTTCTGCTCAAAAGAAAATATTAATCACAATCTGTGATTACACATTTATTTGCACAGATATCTGTTCAATATATACTTAACTCAACTGACTCTATGATAATAAGGAGGATGGTAGATTTTTTCTTCCAGTACGTCCCTGAAACCTAAATAGAGACTAGCATGTGCTAGGTGCTCCATAAATAAGTGTTGAATGAATGACTTTCTATTCAGAAACTTATCCTTGTTAAAGCTTTTCATCTATATGACTATGTCAAATCATACTCTAGAGCAGCCACATCCAACCTGCAGCCTGCCTTTTTAACTACCTTTTTAAAATGTTATAAAAAATATAAAAAGGAAGTTTTATTACTTATATGTAGTAATAATATTATATATTTTATATAAAGACAATTCTTAACTCAATAAAAAGGGGGGTTATTGCCTAGAATAAAACAAGTAAATTTGTCCTTGGCCAGTAGCAACAGCATAACTTCAAACTCACTGATGCTTAATACTTTTCAGAAGATAAGAAAAATATAGTACTAATTTATCCATCCACCTATTCTTTCTTTCAGTACATACTTGAACTCTTCATACTGTGTCAAACACTCTTTTAGGTATTTGTCCTTATAATATTCCTAGTCTATAAGGGGATGAGAAAGAGAGGATACAATAAACAAATAATAGACACTACAAAAAAACTAAATAGGTTAAGAAGAGCAGGAAATGCTCAGATGCAGGGCATGATTGGAGGCTACTTCATAGAAAATACATAAGAAAGCCCCTGTCACAAGTGAGCAAGTAAAATAGCACACTAGAAAGAGGAACAGCAATTATGAAGGTCCTGCCTGGTAGAATCAACAATCACTTCAATCTCTATCAATGTTTTTCATCTGTGATTCACACTGCCCTCAACAAACATTTGGAAATATGAGGAGTTAGGTAGTCTGAGTTTGTGGGATGGGGTTTGGTGGGAGTGGCGGTAGGATGGGGATGCTAATCTATAATGCATAAGGGAAGTTCAAACTACCAATAATTCAAAGAATTGTTCTGCCTAAGATACTCACTAAATATTTTTACTAGGAATTACAGCATTTTTGTTTTGGTTTCAAACTGTCCTCAATGAAGAAAAGATTTATAAAAGATTTATGATAAAATCATACAACAAATTTGTATTTTATATAATGTAATTTATCCTAACTCTCTAAATACATATATACACACATATACACATATGTACATACACATATACATACATATATGTATTGTATGCATGCTTAGGATTGAACATAGGACTCTGTGTTTGCAAATGCTCTATCACTGAGCTACACTCTTAGCCCAACTATATACTTTCAGTCTCACTACTTCCTCCATTACACTTGCTCATAACATTTCATATGTGATATAGATTGGGTTTCAGTCAAGAATTCAGGTGACATTTATTACATGATCGATTTCTTGGCCTCAGACTGTATACAAACACTTTAGATGGGAAGTGTCATATCTCGGCAATCAAATCATCATATAATCAGCTCCCATTCTAATGTGGTAACATTGCTCATTACCTGCTTTCTCTGACAATTCATTTTAGAGCCAGCTCAAAAAGAAAATGTTTTTCCCAACATTCCCAGTTGCACACTCTTCTGTTCTCTCCAAAAATACAGCTATCAGACATATCAAAAGGTTTTTCTTTACTTGCATGTCTCCCAAACTAAACTATAAGCTTTTCCGGGGTAACAACTAGAGCGTTTCCCCATCCATCGTTGTATCCCTAGCGCCCAGTACAATGTCTGGTGCTTAGCAGATATTCAGTGATTATATAGGGGATGAAGAATGAGTGATCTCCAAATTAAGCAAAGAATATAGCATACTCAAAACTGCACCACAAAAAGCAGTAACGCTAGAAGACGCCTGCATGAGTTGAATGAAGGCAGGAAACAGGGGTGGGGGAGGCCGCTAGGCAGAAATCACTTGAGCACTTCTTCAAGTCTATGCTGAGAAGTGCCAACTTCAGGGTTTTAGATGTAACACTGTCCATAGGCAGGTAAGGTTAACATTTGTTGACCTTTCCAACCCTAAAATGCCTGAACACACCCCCTCCCCCAATTGGGAGCCCTCACTCAGGGAGCCCAGGTATCCTGGGTGAGTATCTCACCTTTCCATTGGTGGGAGGCTCCTGGATGTAGATGTTGCTCATCTTAGGCAGTGGTTCGGACTCTGCTTCTTATTCCCCAATACGAGCGGACGGCAGGGGATACGAGGGGACGACAAGCACTAAAGCTGTCCACTTATTAGTGCACGACTCCTGAAGTTGCCAGTCGGGGAAAGATTCACTCGGATATCGCTCACGACAGGGACACCAAACACTACCGGGTACCAAAACTAGCCCCTCACGGACGCCGCCATGTTGCTCCCGGACCCGAACACCGCTAACCCTGAGAACGGGGATTCCTATATCTTCCAGGGAACGAGAAAAGATTATAAGGGTCTCAGAACTTAATGTAACTTGAAATGTAATTTGTAACAATATTAAGAGGGACAATCCGTAAGTCTTAGTGGTGTTTGCTTCACGTGTCTGCTGGTCGTACTCCCCCCCCGCAACTGGCAATAATAGTTCAGACCCTGCGCAATCTACAATAGGATTCGTTTGGAAACTGCATCCACTTATACTTGGTTCCGTTCTCCCCTAGACGTTTCCAGGGCCTTCCCCTCCGGTAGTGAAAGCTCCTGAGGCGGGTGGCAGAGGCCTCTCTGAGCGTCGTGTTCGAAGTCGGCGGGAAGCAAAATTATTTTCGAAAGCTACAAGCTCCAACGATCCCTTTTACCAGCGTAATGGCAGTCCCAGGTGAAAACTATTGGCGGGGACCCGGATTCCGAGCGAGGAAGGGAGCGGATAGGGTTGTGTAGGACGCGGTGGGGCAGGGAGTGGCGCCCAAAGGTATTATGGCGGAGGCCTTAAAATTAACAAATTTGGTTGGTTTACATGAAAAAGTGTACACTACGAGACTGAAGTAAAGAAACCATTCCTCCCATCCCCAGTCACGTTCTAGCTGCACAGGATTACGGGGAGGAAGTATGTAACAGGAGGGAGAGAGGAGTGACGGGCTGGTAACTGTGGGCCTAAGAGAGCTAGCAGCCAACAAACACTGACCTTAATTTTGATATAGCTTAAAAATAAAATTTGAGGTGAGGACACTTGGAATACCCGGATACCGAGGCATTGTTTATATTGAAAGTCGCAGGGACCAGTTGTGCCTCTGTGGTTAACTTCTGGCTCTTGCTGTTGTATGCAGTTGCGGTGTGGTTGTAGGCCGGTTCCTTTGCCTGTCTGGGCCTCAGTTACCATATCTCTAAAAGAAGATTTGTTGAATTTTATCTAAGCTTCCTTATAGCTCTCAATTTCTGTGTCCATATGTTACCGAACCTAAAAACGGCCTAATCTTCAAAATACTCCAGGAATGTTCTTGTCCATGACTCCAGCCTACTGGAAGTTTTGGTAGTGGCAGACACCTCTTTAAATCAGCATTGCCACGATGTTATCTGCAGAACAGTAGTTGTGGGAGATGTTTTGAGAAATACACCATCCCAAAATTTGGAGATTCACAGTGCACTTTATTATAGAAAAGATAATGACAAGTACTATACTATGTTTCAGAATCCCTAGCTTTGCTTAAACCTGCCCTTCCCACTATTGCTTGACCAAGTTCTTTGTTCTGTGGCAGCCTTTTTTGAACTTTTTTCTACAGATAACTGTTATGGGAAGACTGTGTTTTTCTCTCAACTGCAGTTTGAAGGGGAGCACATTTGGAACTGTGAGAGAGGAAATGTATGTTCTTAATAAAGACGTGCCCACTGCATATCTGACAGTGCCCTAAGTAGGCACTGCGAATACAGTAGTGATCAAGGTAGACACCAGTTGCATTTCACAAGAAATTTATGAATTAGCAGTGAAGAGAAAAACCTTCACAGAAAATGGGAATAGCTACTGCAAGGAAAATACAAGGCCTGGAAAACACACAATAACTGTATATAGGGAGGGGCCAGAAGGACTTTCCAGAAGGTGTGACATTTTAGGATGAGGCCTACAATATTGTGGAGAAGGATGAAGTGGAGGAGGGGAGGAGATTGCAGTTGGAGGGACTGGATGTGTAAAGGAAGTGCAAATATGAGAAGAGGGAAAGAAAGATGTTTGTCATGTATGGTATTCGGCATACAATTGGCAAAAAAGTGAGAAAGAGACAACAGTAGCTAATGTTTTCTGTTTACCCTATTTCATATGTCTCAGAGACTGTGTCAGATCTTATCTCTTAGTTTGGAGGCAGTCAGCAGTTAGTAATTCTGGAGGGTTATGATAGTGCCACGCTAAGCTCTGGTCTCGAAAGGAAAGAAGCAGATAGGTTGGAGACACATTTTTGGTAGTAGAATCATTAGGAATTGGCTATTGATTCAAGGGGGGAAGGTAAAGGGGGAAATGATTTACTTAGATTTCATTGTTAGAAAATCAGATGAGTCTAGTTACTGATAAGACATTACCTCATTAGGAGTAGGGGGATAATGATAACTTCTGTTTGGAGTTTGTGTTGAGTTTAGTCAAAATGGGAATGGAAATATCTAACAGCAAGCGATCATTTTCAGTTAAAGAAGTTAAGAATTGAAAGTGTTTTATGAGGTGTCATCAAAAAACATGGTGAATGTTAACTTAAAAAAAAAAAGATTCATTATAGTAAAAGATACATGTCACCTGAAACAGTTCTGGAAATCCTCTTTCTTGTCTTTAGTTGTGCTGTAGTAGCTGCCTTGAAGTCCTGAATCCATTTGAAACCTTACCTTTTGTAGTCATTTTTACTTTGGAAAATACCCGGAAGTCACTCAGTGTGATATCCAATAAAAAAGGTGGGTGAGGAGACACCATAATAGGAAACTGCCATTCTGTTGGATGGCACTTGGCAGCATCATTCACCATATTTTTGATCACACCTAAAGACACTAAAGAGGACTTCCAGAACTGCTTCAAAAAGTAGTATGGGGCCGGGGATTTAGCTCAGTGGTTTCGCCGCCTGCTGCGCAAGCGCAAGGACCCGAGTTCGATCCCCGGTACCAAAAAAAAAAGTAGTATGAATGATGGGATAAATGTGTTTGAAGCAAGTGGAAATGTTTTGAAGAAGATTAGTGGTAATGTATCTTCTACTGTAAAAATTTTTTAATTTGAACATTCACTGTATATTTTTAACTCAGCTTGTAGGTGTCAAACAGTAGGAACTGAGGCCGTCAGGAGTGGATCATTTTGCTCAGGTGGAGGGTGTAGAGTGAAGGGAAAGCCTGTGACTGAAGCCTGGTGAACGGCAACATCTAAGGCCAGCAGAGAAAGACAAGCCTACGCAGTAGACTGCCTTGGCACCCTGATAGGCCCGTAAGCATCATGCAGCCTGCACCCAAAATTGACCCACACAGTAGTGCCAGCACGCAAGAGATTGAGGCCAAGGGATCACTCAAAGTTCACTTGTTGTCACTGTTTCTTTCATTACTGGAGCAAACTTTTTATTTCAATACTGAGGATTGAGCCTTCACACTAAGCTGCATCCCCAGCTCTTTTTTATTTTGAGACAAGTTCTCACTAAGTTGCCCCGGCAGGACTGGAACTTGCGATCCTCCTGCCTCAGCCTTTCAGAGTACTGGGATTACTGATGTGTGCCACCATGCTCAGCTTTTGAGCAAGCTTTTTGAGCACCTTTGTGGGATTCAGTGGCATAGTCTGTGCCCTCATAAAACTTTGTAGGCTAGTAAAGAAAATACACTGCTTAAAAGAACAAAGGTGGTTTTTAAAAGCCATGTTTGAAATTCCCTTAAACTTAGACTACTGTTGTAGATATATTAACCTTCTTTCAATTCAAAATAATTCCTTAAAGTATAATAATCTTAAATTGTGCTATTAAGCTAGATGGCAGGACACAGTTAAACTGTTTAAACCTATTGAAAGTGGAGATAATAGGTATGATGGGTGCCATAAAAAAAAGTACAATGTAAGCATGGTTAGCAAATATAGATGTGGGAAATGTTAACATAATTTCTTGGGTGATTGATCCAGACAGTGTGTTAAAGGAAAATAGGCACCATGAAGTCTTTTGAAGTGATCGTCAAAGAGAACAAGTTTTATGCTATGCTCTTTTATTTTAGGTATAATGGATTCAGCCTGGCATTTCTTGGGCTAGTTCTGCTAGTGATTATTACAAGGTATGACTATAAAGTAATGAGGCTCTTTCCACAAACCTCACATAAAAACCAACCTTATCTCTTTTATAATTACCTGCCTCAGCTTTTTCTATAGCATTGTGTGTTAGCTTAAATCATTATGTAGGTTACAATGAAATTTTGTAGACTTTTAGAAAAATCTTACACTCTTAGTTATTAGTGAAATGACATTTGAACACAGTTTTCAATGAATTTTGCTTTCTTTGGAAAGTTTAGTTTTCTTTTCTTTGAAAAATTGCTTTTCCATTCACAATTGTTGAAATTAGCTCATTTGTTGAAATCATGTCAATAATCCTCTATTCTCCATGAAGTGTTAGCATGGCACAAATAGCAGTATAAGTTACTGATGTGGTTGGCATGATTCTTTTGGTAGTTTCTTCTTCAGTGAAGTTTATACAGTCAAGCTAGGGAATTGTCAGATCATTCCAGTTTGGCATATAAAAGTGATTAAGAATGTATATACATTGCCATAGCATCTCAGAAATAGGAGAATTCTAAAATACTACATCCCATTGCTTTTCATTCCTAAACTAGGTTATTTCTTTTCTCCCTAGTTCATGCTACCCACTGCTGCTTAAGTAATTTTTCTAAATCACGTGTCTGAGCCTGTCATTCTTGGGAGACAGGAACTTAAAGTTTTAAACTTATGTCTGTAAGTTCTGTAATTCTCTTCAAGCCACTTAACCTTTCTGAGGTTCAGTTTTCTTTTGTCTGTGATAAAACGGTTGATTATTAATCTTCTAGATGTTTTAAAGCCAAAGCTCGCTCGCTATCTCTCTCTACAGGACTGAAATGCATACTCCACTCCTGAGTGTGACCAAATAAGTTACTCTGTCTGTTCTTTCTACCACTTTTCTCGTACATTCTCCTATGTGGCAAAAAAGGCGAACTAACCTACCCGTATGCCTGTGTTAATATTATTCCTCCTTCATTATCCATGCCTACCTTTCCCAGTCTTTTTGCTGAAAGGTTTTTTTGTTTTGTTTTATTTTGTCTTTGAGACATGGTCTCACTATGTAGCCCAGGTTGACCTCGAACTCATGACAATCCTCCTGCCTCAGCCTCCCCAGTGCTGAAATTACAGGCATCTGCCACCATGCCTGACTTTTAGTTGAAAGTCTTGCCTGGCCCTTTTTCATGCGTATTAACAGAACTATGTGTCTTTTATGACATGTGGCACATTCTTTCATGTATTGACTGCTTTGGGTGCATTATCCTAAATAATCTAGTGTAGCATAGCTTTCTTTACTGAGGGATTTGACTTTATTCATTTTATGGTTTCTCTAACATACAGTGCAGAGTTATATGAACAATAGATATATAGTTAGAGGGTTGATCACTACAATTACTGTTGAGCAAAGTGCAGTGTTAAACTAAGCAGACTTATCGAGACAGTAATCTTGATTCTGCTTCATTAAATAATAAATTAAACCTTTTTCTTCTTATTTTAAAACAGGTAATACCGATAATATTTTTCTTCTCCTTCTTAGACAATTTTGTGAGGCAAGTAGAAGACTGAGTCTTATGCATTTATTTCAATGTTAGCTCTTTCATAGCAGTAGTTTAAACAGGTCTTTGATATTTTTATTTTTACTC